TTTGTCCACCACCTTGGGAACGTCCCTTGACTGGTTGTTGATAAATAAGTGAATAAGGACCGACATTGCGAGCGTGGAACTTATCAGCGACCATATGATTTAATTTAATTGTATATATGTAGCCGTTATAAACATCTTGCTGAAAAGGCGAGCCAGTTTGGCCGTTGAATAATTTTTGAGCGCCATAATTTTTAATTCCGGCTTCCTGAATGATTTCCTTAATTGCTTGAGGAGAGGGAGAGTTGAAGGGTCGGCAAAGAAGCTTAGTATCAAGTTTCTGAGCCGCTGAAGCTAATATTGTTTCCAACAACTGACCAATATTCATGCGGGTAGGAATGCCCAGCGGATTGAAAATAATATCAATAGTTTGTCCTTCCTCATCAAACGGCATATCGGCTTCGGGAACAATTTTGGCAACTACTCCTTTATTACCAAAACGGGTCGTTAATTTATCGCCAATTTCTATTTTCCTTTTTTGGGCTACGTAAACTTCTACTAACTCTAATTCATTCTTATTTTTAGTAAGTTTTTTTCTTTTGACCTGGTAAACTGTTCCGGACTCCTCGGCGGGCAAACGCAATGAAGAATTAACAAATCTTTGTGCCTTTTCTCCTAAAATACTCATCAGTAATAATTCTTCTTCTGCTTCCCGACGCGGACTAGGCTCGGGAGTTAATTTACCAACTAGAATATCATTACCTTTTACCCTGCTACCAATCTTGACTATCCCATTTTTATCAAGTTGAGGAAACTGTTTTTTCTCGGAGTAGGGAAAAGAAGAAGTAAATACTTCTGGACCATATTTAGTATTATGACGAATAATAGTATGCTTTTTAACAAAAAAGGAAGTGAGAATATCTTCCTTAACTAATCTTTCGCTGAGGATAATGGCATCCTCATAATTATAACCATTCCAACATAAATAAGCCACTCGCAAGTTATAACCTAATGATAATTCATTATTATTGGCATAATTTCCACAGGCTAGCATTTGGCCACTTTCGACTTTATCACCTTTTTTCACTAACGGGAGAGAGAAATTGAGAACATTTTTATTCGAAACTACTAATTGTTCTAATTCATAAGTTTTTTTTTCCTTATTCTTTTCCTTAATAACGATTTGTCGACTATCGACATATTCTACTACTCCTTTTTCCTCAGCTTTAACCACTAATGGTGAATTATTGAGTAGACTGGCTTCGATTCCGCTGGCTACTAATGGTTCTTGACTTTTTAGTAGAGTTACTGCTTGCCGTTGCATATTGGCTGCCATGAGCATGCGGGTCGCATCATTATGTTGAAAAAAAGGAATAGTCGCACTGGTTACTGAATTCAAGTGATAAAAAGAACTATAAATGAAATCTAATTTCTCTTTGGGCACTCGGACAAAACTCTCCTGATGAATAGCCAACACTGTTTCTTCCACAATCTGATTTTTTTCATCAACTTTTATATTAAAATGAGCGATATATTTGTCCTTTTCTTCTTCACTCGTTAAATAAACCAAAGAAGGAGTAATTATACCATTACAAACCGGAAAATAAGGAACTATTATTTGACCATAATCATTTACTCTTGCTCCAATCGTTAGTCTATGAACTAAGCCTATTCTTTGACCCTCGGGAGTTTCTACCGGGTCATAACGGCCACCGAAAGAATAACTAATATTGCGGGCCGCCAAGGTTGCATTAGCTGAATTACGTCCTCCTAATCCCATAACACTTGACACTAGCCCATCAGAAATGATAGATAAAGCATTATTTTGGTTTTGCAAGCGAGCCAAAGCCGAAGTATTAAAAAAATGCTTGATGAGATTATCAAAGTCTTTTAAATTAGGAATTTTTAGTAAATCGACTTTTTTTAATTGCGAAATATAAGCCAAGTATTTATTATCGATATCCTGCAAAAATCCGCCCAGCTTGTTGTCAAAAATATTATAAACCAAGTCACCAACTCGACGGACGATTTGATTTTCTAATTTATCTTCATCTTCCTCTTTTTCTGCATTACCCAAACCCTGGTGTAAGTTAATATAACCAGACACCGAACAAATTAAATCAGCCAGGTCAAAGTAAGTTTTTTCTTCAGGTAAATTGTCCCCAATCCCAACTACCGAGATGGTTTTTTCTTTATTTTGCGGTGACTTTATTTTAATAATATATAAATCATTAGTGGAATGAGGAACAACTACCCCCGCTATTTTATTTTTTTGCAGGACATTTTGTAATGTTTGCAGGTTTTTTTCCTCTAAAATAGCATTTTTTTTCAAAAGAACCTTGCCATCACTATCGCACAAATCCTCAGCCAATGTTTGACCTTTTAATTGCTCAATAATGCTCATCTTTTGATTACATTTTTTTCTTCCTAATTTTCCAATATTAAAGTAAGAATTTCCCTTGCTGTTAGTAAATAAAAATTGGGGTAAACTGACCCCGCTTTCTAATTCCTTGGCCTCCTGATAACCATCAATATCTAAACTTTCTTCGTCGAACAACTCTTTTAGGAGCTCGGGTGAAACCGCAAATGTTTTTAAAACATCTAGTAGGTCGACCACCAGTCCAGAATTAAGAAATTTCAACTCAATGGTCAGTGGCTTTTTCGCACTGTAAGAAATACTAATTCAAGGTCCCTTAAAAGGAATAATTTCCCCACAAAATCCATTTTCCTTCTCGTCAAAATAATAAACCGACGGGGCTCTTACTGACTGAAATACCACTACTTTATTATGGCCATTAATAATGAAATTTCCTTGTGGGTTCATTTTTGGTAAATGGCAAAAATCTATCTCCTGGTCTTGTTCGCAATGAAAACTAACTACTAAATTGTCTTTTTCCCGCTCTAAGATTGTCAACACTATTTTTAAATTTCCTTTGTTTTCTTTTATCACTCACTCCTGATACTCACCTTGTTCTAGGGATTTAATTTTGCTGGTTAATTTTTGCACCAAACCTTTTTTTTCTTGGTGGTCTTGGCCAGATAATTCCTCTAATTGTTTTTTGGTTTGCATCAACAGAGACTTTAATTCAGAGGGCGAAAAAAGTTTTTTTTTACAAGCAAATTTACCGATTTTGAAACTTTCCTCCACTCATTGGCTGATATTTTTTTCTAAGTCATTATCAACTAACAAAATTTCTCTAATGTGGAAGTCCCAAGAAACCTTCCAGTTAAAAGAAATCAACTGATTTCAAGTAAGAGACTCAGACCGTGCTTGCTTCTCAGTTATTTCTGGTTCTTGACAGACAAAATTTTCGATACTTATTTTAATGTCATTATTATAATCACTAAATTCAGCCGGAAAATAAAAGGATAGCAACTGGGGCAATCTTTCGTGGAGAAATTTTGAATAGGATAACTTTTGCTCCTGGGCGTAATCTCGTTCTGGTAAGTCTTGAAAAAGGGGTGAACGATTAGCAGCCGAATATTCACGGCGCAGACTTTTCCCCGAATTAATTGTTAGATGTGACATTAATTAAAAATTATATAATTTCTACCTCAGCTCCTTTCTCGGCTAATTGTTTTTTGACATCCTCGACTTTGGCCCGAGAAATATTTTCTAAAATAATTTTGTCTTCTTTTTCAACAAGATTTTTAGCTTGGATTAAGTTAATTGTTTCACCTTTTTGTTCCTTAATGATACTCATAATTTCTTTATAGATTAGAACTTTGTTGGAGCCTTCTTTTATTCCTACTAATTTTAACGAAACGTTACCGCCTTTTTCTTCACTTTTTTCGTTTTCTGGTGCCGCAGTTGCTGATTGAACTATTGCAGTTTCTTGAATATTATAATCTTCTTTCAAACCATCTATTAATTCACTAACTTGCCCAATGTTCAAACTTTTTATTTTTTCTTTTATTTCGCTTACTTCTTTACTAATTTTTATTTCTGACATATTTTATTGATTTGTTGTTTCTTTGGCTGATTTAATTTTTTCTAAAATGTTAACAAGTCTTCTGGTATGAAAATTAAGATAATAGCATAAAGTGCTTATTAATATTTCTCTACTTGGTAAACTGGCTCATTTTTCCAGCAAAGTATTGGCTACTAATTTTTGCTCGTAAATGCCACCTCGAAATCGCTTGATATTAGAATACTCCTTATTAAATTGATTGAGAATGCTTAGAGGCTTGTACTCATCCTCCTGACAAAAGATAAAAGCGTTAGCCTGCTTCAATTCCAAAGAATAATTAGGAAGTGCTTTCATTACTAAATTATTTTTATAAACTTTTCAATGGCTTCCAACCTTTTTTAATTCCTTTTTTAGGCGAAAAAGTTCCCTATTTTCCACATGGTGGAAGTTGTAAAAAATAACCGCTTTGGCTTGTTGGAAATCATTTTTAATTTCTTGGACGAC